AAAGAGAGAGAAAGAGATAGATAGATAGACAGAGAAATAGAGATACAGAGACAGAGAGAGCAAGAGAGAGATGGAGAGTGAGTGAGAGAAAGATAGAGAGTGAGAGACAGAGAGAGGAGACTTAGACACAGACACAAACACTTACAAGGTGCTGTACTCCTTCCAGAACGCGTCGTATTTGTCCTCATCTATCTTCTTAATCATGTCCAGTGCTTTCCTCGTTAGCTTCTTCTTAATTACCTTCAGCAGCTTGTGCTGCTGGAGTGTCTCTCGCGACACGTTCAGGGGAAGGTCGTCAGAGTCAACCTGATCAAATCAATCAACCAATCAATCAATCAATCAATCGATAAATAAAGCTGGTGACATTGCATACCATGACAAATTCATGGTAAAGATGTCATAGTCAATCTGATGAAATCAATCAATCAATAAATCAATAACAGCATCAGTGTCCACCCTAAAACATTAACGAAAAAAACCACTAGTGGACCTGAACAAATTCAATCAATCAATCAATCAATCAATACTATTTCCATTGTCTACATCAATACATACAGGAGTAGCCTGCTAGCCTATCCGAACAAACCGAATCAATCAATCAATCAATCGAGCTACAATGTAAACCTCTGCTATGACCTCGATCGTCGCACTGCTATCAGCGCCCTCTATAACACGCACGCTCACTCACCATGCCGCGGATGAAGGCGAGGTAGTTTGGCATCATCTCTGCGAAGTCACTCGTGATGAACACACGTCTCACATAGAGCTTGATCTGATCCACCTTCTTACCAAAGTTCTGCAACAACGAGAGAGAGCGTGTGAATGAGGGAAGGAAGGAGGGAGGGAGGAAGGGAGGGAGGGAGGGAGAGAGAGAGCAAGAGAGAGAGAGCAAGAGAAAGAGAGCAAGAGAAAGAGAGCAAGACTGATCGATAGATGTTGTAAGTGGCGCACTATGTAAGCCAAACCACATCTGACGCGAGCCAGAGAGCAGGAGTAGAGGGGGATATTGTTGCGTAGTTATACATATCACTAACTATGTTGTATATGTAATATCCATGTTACTATGTGTAGATATATATTAGCAGAACTTGATGTACGTGCGTTATTTGCACGCAAATCGAAACGCAGATTAAAAAAAAAAAAGAATGGTGTTGATTAAAATCACGTGATACGTGACAAATTTATATAATCGTAAAACAGAATTTATCTGCTAGCACAAACAAACGATCAAACGAGAAAAAACCTTCTCCCATCTCTTTGTGTGTAACCCCGTCTTCTCTCTCGACGGAGATGGTGACGACCGGGGGAGAGATAGGCGGGATGAAGGAGGCAGGCTGAGAGGAGGGAGCAGAAGCGCGACACCGGCCCACTGAGGCCCGCCGAGGGCGAGGATGTGAAGGTGGACGGAGCAGCGGCAGGCATGAAGACGAAGCAAGCAGTACCGAAGCAGGTGGAGAAGACGACGTCGCGCACTGGGAACTGCCCTGATGACGATGTAGCAAACCCCGCTCTGCGACCGCAAGTACGTCCCCCTCCCCTACCCCCCCGCCCTCTTCCCACGCCCCTCCCCCCATGCTCACCTCCACCCGCCTCCTTTGTGATGTTTTTGCTCCTTTCCACCGATCCTTGCCCTCTCTCTCTTCTCTTCTCTCTCTCTCTCTCTCTCTCTCTCTCATCTCCTTTTTCTCTCTCTCGTTTCTCTCTCGGCTCGCTCGTCTCTCTCTCTCTTTCTTCCTCTCTCTCTTCTCTCTTCTCTCTCCTTCTCTTTCTTCCTCCTCTCTCTCTTCTCTCTCTCTCGTCCTCGCTCTCCTCTCTCTCTCGTCTCCTCTCTCTCTTCTCTTTCTCTCTCGTCTTTCTCCCCTCTCTCCCTCCTCCTCTCTCTTCTCATCTCTCTCTCTCTCTCTCTCTCTCTCTCTCTCTCTCGTCTCTCTCTTCTCTCTCTCTCTCTCTCTTCTCTCTCTCTCTCTCTCTCTCTCCTCTCTCTCTCTCTCTCTCCTCCTCTCTCTCCTTCTCCTCTCCTCTTCCCTCTCTCTCTCTCTCTCTCGTCCTCCTCCTCATCTCTTCTCTCTCTCTCTCCTTCTCTCTCTCTCTCTCTCTCTCTCTCTTTCTCTCTCTCCATCTCCCTCCACCTCCGTTTTCCTTCATTTCTACACACCTGTGTCTCTTTCTATATCTCTCTCTCCCTCCTGTCCCCTAGCTCTTCCCTTGCTCAGCTCCCCTCCTTCCCCTACTTCCTCTCCCTTGCCCAGCTCCCCTCCTCCCGCCACCCAAAGGAGTCTTCCAGAAGCATAATTTCGTTCGTCAATGTTCTAATCGACTTCGCAAAACGGCTCTGGTTTTAGGGGAGGGGGAAGCGTGGTTGTGTTGAATTGCTCTCGGCTTCAGTGTGTGATGAATTCTTCCCCCGGCACTGATCGACAGATGTTATAACCGTGCGACTACATAAGCCAAAAACCAAAGTCTGACGCGAAAGCGAGGCAGAGATGGAGGGGGGAATTTGAAGATTTTTGCTTACTGTGCTAAACTGTTTTAATAACGTTTAATATACTAATCACAATAAATGAACATCCCACCACACCGCGCGTGGCCCGCCTCGCCTATTTCCTCTCTCTCGTCCTCTCGCCGCTCACCGGGGTCAACCCGAACCTTCTCTCTCTCTCGCCTCGCTCGCATCACGTGGGGAAACCCGCCCTTCTCTCTCTCTCCCTCCCGGCCGTGCGCGACGTCATGACGGCAGGACGTACACCGGTTTCTACCGTCCAGTTCGCGACGGCACGGCGATCCGCTGGGCCACCAGATCCCTTCCTCGCTGAAAGGGCCAGCGGTCCCCTTCAGTCCGATTCTCTTTCCTCCCTGCACGTCCTCGCCGGAATCTGCTTGCACTGTGGGGCGCCGCTGACGGCGCGCGCGCGGTTTCCAGGGGGCTGCTAACGATAAATCGCGGGCGCTGTGCGGTGCCGACCGGTGGCGAATGTCCGCGACATCTCAAGCTTCTGCTGGTAATCCAATTTGTAAAATAAACGGCACAGGAACATGTTTTTATTATTAGGAGCGTTAATGAAGACAAGGAATGCCCGGCATCGCATGCTGGCATGGTGGTTTTTCTACTGTGGAATGCTGGTAAATTTTGCGACACAGGGAGGGTAAGGTAAAGGTGGTTGTGTTGAACTAATGCTCTCCGCTTGTGCGTAGCTATCCTTTCCCGGCTGCAATCGAACAAGAATGCTGAATAACACGTTAGCGCTACATCAGCCCCAAAATCTGAACGCGAGCCGCGAGCCAACGCAGTGAACGGCGGGGATGGGTGGTTTTGGCTATAAGTTGTACCAACTGTACTCCACTCCTATTCGTCCTTTGTACTAAGATCCACGTTATTTAACAACCGGGGACTCCTCTGCATCCCTTTTCTTCACTAATCTCTCGTCTCTCTTTCTCTCTTTCTCTCTTCTCTCTCTCTGTCTCCTGTCTCTTCATCTTTCTTTCTCCTCTCTCTCGCTCTCTCTCTCCTCTCTCTCTCTCTCTCTCCTCTCGGCTTCTCTCTTCTCTCTCTCTCCTCTCTCCCCTCCCTCCTGCTCTCCCTCCCTCCCTCATCTCTCTCTCTCTCTCTCTCTCGCTCTCGCTCTCGCCTCTCTCCGCT